CGAACCATCAAATGTTACGTCAGTCAGGCATCCACTCTCTCGAAGGCAAGCTGCAACTCACCTTCGGCCCACAGATGCTGTTGCGCGAAGAGTTGCTCGAAGGGATCGGATGTATTGCCACCGTCCATCATGCTCGCAGGATCAAAGGCGCTCCCAGACAATTGGGGGGTGAAGCCTGTCGGTGCGTTGAAAGAGGATTCCTGTCCAAGAAAAGGCATACCGGGCGACGCTGCGGAGCCTGCAGCTCCAGAAGCAAGGCTCCCAGGCCCCAAAAAGGGTGTCAAACCTGAAGAAGGGACATCACCGGAGCTTTGCAGGAACTGTTGGAACGCTCCGGCGCCAAGCTGTGAGTCCAGCAACTGCTGCGGGTTGCGCTGTGTGGGTGGCGCTTCGCCTTGGGCGCTTGCTGCTCCTGCCGACGTCGCCGACCATCTATCGGCGGATGCAGATGGCTCGGCGAGGCTAGTCGCACCAGCGGAATGAGGCGCAGGGCTCGTTACCTTTCCTGCCGCGCTTGTGGCTGGAGAATCGGCCTGCGAGTCTGCGAAAGCGGTCATCAGTTCGCTCGTTGAGAGGGGCAGTGGCACAGGTTCTCCAACCGAAGAGCTCGAGGAAGAAACGTTGAGAGTTCGACGCGAGTCTCCACTGCTCTTGATCTTGCGGCGCGAGCTCGAAGACTCGAAAGAGCCTTCCTCATTGTCAGACGCATCGCCACCGCTGCCCGTTTTGTGGGGTCGCTTGAGCGCTGATCGAGGTACAGGCAGCTCGCTGACAGCGATCAAATGGTCCATCAGTCGGCTCATTTTGCACGCCAAGGACCAGTGCTTCTCTAATCCTCGCAAGACATCGAGACAGCGACGTACGTCGGCCATCGTGGATGTCGAAGTCCTTGCCCCGCTTCTCTTCGCGCTCCAGACGACGAGAAGCAGAATGCAGCCTGCAGAGAAGGCGCGAAACAAGACTTGCAGACCGCCTCTCGGATGCAACTTGCGCCGGTACAAGTTGTGCAAGATATGGCAGATAGATCTGGCGGCGTTGGTGCAGATGGCCAACGATGGGTAGTTGAGTGACGATTTCGAGTTCGGACCCGGAATGAAGGGCCTGTGCACCAAAATTTGACTGTGGTAGTATTTGGTGTGGAGTAGACTTGACTGAAGGAGCCACTCGTCGTTTGGCTCGTTGGCATTGTACTTCAGGTGCTGTGGTACTGTGCCCAGCCATTGGTTAAGCGAGGAATCGATTTCAGCGACGATGAATTGATCCCACTGGCGACCAACAAATCCCCTCGACACTTTCGCCTTGCCGATAGCGTAGATCGTTCGCAGGGTGCGACCAATGATCTGATCGAGACGAATGGACGCGACAAAGCCAGCAAGGAGGGAGGGCTTCTCCACCGGCTGCGAAGGAGGGTTGCCTGTTGCAGCAGCATCGATGAGAAACATGTCGTCGACAGCAAGCGGTTCGTCCACATCAAAGTCTTCATCCTGGATACAGACGGGTCTTCCGAGACCAGCGCTAAATTCTCGATCGAGAGAATAGGTCACCCACCATAGTCGCCTATAGGTTTCCGTGAGCAAGAGAGGATGCTTGAGACGCTGAGCAGTGACTTTGCGGTGGGCTCCCACGTCCTGAAGCAGACGAACCGCTACGCTGAGTACTGCCCATGCTAGGGTGTTCGCCATCGGTGTCCCAAGCATGAAAATCGTCGCGAGCACAATGTTCTGGGCATGCTCCAGTGTCGCGATGCCACCAAAAACGCGCTGTCCGATGTGCCGCTGTGCCAGCCACCATTGCAGACCTGCAGTGTGGTACGTCTCTCCACCTGCACGTTCGTTGGGGTTCAAGCACACGCGCGAGTCGTCGACGTATCGACTAGCTACCGCGAAGAGGCCCAGGCAAAGAGCAACGAAGTCCGGTCTTCTGCGCATGTCCGGTCGGTTGTCAAAGTCGTGCCGGAACTTGAGCTCGTTGATCATGGGATAATCGAGGTGTGGCCGCTTGAAGTAAGCGTCGATGAGCTTCTTCTCCAAGTCCGGCTCGGGCCAGTCTAGCGCGTCTAACTCCTGTTCCGAGAGCTGTTGTGTAGCAGCCGAGGGAGTGAAGAAATCGTAGCCATCTGGGTCTTTCGCGCTCTTCATGGCGTTGGCTTCGCCCCAGATGCCCCTCTGCTGAAGTCGCTGATCGTCCCTGCTCATGCGATCGAGGAGGTCGATGAGATGGAAGTCTGAGGCCTTGCCCAGGAACTGACTGGTGACGCCCTGAGGTGGTCCGTCGGGTCCTGGTACTCCACGAGCGCTGAGCCACTGGAGACGTTCGTCCTTGATGGATGTCCAGTGCACCTCGCCGATGCGGCGCTTTTCCACTTCGGACGCATCTGCACAGAGACTGGTCCCGTTGAGAGCCTGCTGTATGAATGCGACTTCGTCCTCATCTTCTCCCTCGCTTGCTGTATCGCGACTATTTGTTGAAGACACTCGATGGTGTGACATGGGGCTC